TAGATGATATTGATAATATTAATAGATTACCAGAGAAATATCGAATGTCTGATGAAGTTTATTCACAACGTAAAGGTACATTAAAAGATTATCTTCAAAAAAATAAACTTGGAAAATATAATGATCAAAATGCACTCTTACAATCAATATCAAACAATAATAAACAACAAGTACGTAAATTATATGAATTAAATCGTATAAAATTGAAGAAAATAGAAATTGGAATGCATGTAAAAGTAAATGAACCAATGTTAAATATAAGATATGGAGAAGTTGTTTATATTGGTATGTTACGTGGTATTTATGATGAATTTATTGGTGTTATTTTTGATGGTCCATGGGGTGATTCAAATGGATCTGATGGAATTATTCGATATTTTGATGCAAAAAGAAAACATGCTAGTTTTATTCGACCAGAATATATCGAGATTATTGAAGATTAAATCATGAGAACTTCTCAATTGAATGAAGTTAAATACTTTAGTTTAAGTTGAATTTCAAGAGAAGGATTTATTAAAAATATATTATTTCTCATCTATTGATGATTCTAATTCATTTTTATGTTATTAATCATAAATACATGATTAATCATGATAAAATGCTTTAATATCTATATAGAAAGCATAAAGCAATGTATGATAATGTGAATTTTTTGTTGTTGTCAATTTTATCGATATATGATATGAGAAAGAGTCAATTTATTCAATGATGTTTGTATTTCAAATAGAAATAGCTAATGGCTGAGATATTTAACATTTATAGAGTATATAGTACGTTGTATCTATGAGATCAGTTAAATTTCTTTTACACAATGATTATTTTTTATATAATTTTTTTTCTTTGTCCCTCATTAGTAGTGAAACATTCTAAATATATGCATATGATTATTCATTATATGTTGTTCATTATTCAATATATAGTCCAATTCAAAAGCATTTGTTGTAGAATAATGACTTTTAATATTTGTAGTGATAGTGAACTTAAATAAAGTACAATTGTATAATTGAAATAAATTGCTTTTGGAAAAATTACATTAAACATCATTTTCATTACATGCTTCCTATTATAGATCCATGTTAACGTATACAAAGTTCATACATGTCTGTAAACAACACTATACACTCCGTATTTCTCCGTGTACGGCGGTATTTTACCTAATTACATGACTCAGTACTACGATCGTATATCTGCATATCGTATAAGGAGAAATATTGTGTTTTGCTTACACAAAAACACTCTTTTACTTTCATTGTATACAGTAGTTGCACGTGGCTGGTCAGATCGAGCTGAATTGATCAACTCGGCTGAGTCAATATTTTACTGTCGTAGTGTTACACTTGACTGGTTTTGCCACACTTGTGTTAGTGAGCATTGGACTAAATGAACAGTTAGAAACTAAGACGATTTCATACTGCTAGTGTGTAGATAAAGTCATATTCCAGAGTACGCGATCGAAGACAACATAGAAAGAATGGACGGTGAGTCTGGTCAGGGGATGGCTACTGATCTCTCTTTATGCTGATATTACAGAAAATCTCAGAATTTCTATAAAGTTTTGAAGGTGGGAGAGGGAGAGACTGTTATCCATTACTGTAAGATTATTGTTTCAAAAGTTAAATCAATCTATGTTTGAAAAATGTAATAAACAGTGCCAAGAAGTATACAGACGAAACATAATATAGATGTGTTAATGTCACCGCCAACGCCTCAATTGATTTTGATCTATGATGAATATGTCGAGTATCATGCTGTATAGACAAATGAATAGATCAACAAACGAACAAAAGAAAGTAAATCTCTTGCGTTCGGTTAAGCTAATTAATTAAATACTAATATGAATGGGAAAGATTAGTTTGTAAAGGAGAATGTCACTATCGTTTTTCTTTGCTATCGTGTCTATTTCTATTGTTTATACACGATATCCTTCGACAATCGAACATGTCTATTTATCTATTATTGCATATTGGCAAAATACTGATGTAAAAAAAATTGGGTTTCTACGTTTTTTTCGACAGTTATTTATGTCTTTCGTTTTCGTCTCTTTATTTCAGTTTATTGTCATTATTGTTAACGGTTTCTTAGATGAACCTCGTTATCATCCAATGAGACTTACACATTGATATGAAAAAACTATTGTCACGAGCATTTGAAATGAAGATTTTCTTACGAATTTAAGTTAATGGAGAATGGATAAAAAAACAGAAAGCTATGATAGCCGATGTATAAAATGTGATCAGCATTCTTGTTTTCAGATACCATCAAATTCATCTTTATCTATTGTTTCATTAACTAAAAACAATTTTCAAACTAATGCAAGATTACATAAGACATTCGTCCATACAACCAAACAATTTGTCGATGCATGTTTATACAACTATTTTATAAGAGCAGATTTTGCCTAAACTTCTTTTTTATCAAGTGAAATCTATTGGCTTGCATTGTTGATATCGATAAAAATATGTATGAAGACAAAAAGTTAAAATTTAAAAAAACATTAGAACTGATTAGACTACAATTTTTTTTTTCTGTTTTTTATTTTATTCGATTTGTTTTAATAGTTAAAATTATCAGAAAAACAAATGAAAGAATAGTATTATATAACGTGATTTATTTTAACATATGTGCGATAAAAATTTCAGATTTTCATAATATTTTTATGGTTACACAAACGTTGATTGATTTTATTATCTTCTTGGAAAGAATTGATATGATTGTGGAATACCATAGTTGTATGATGAAGGATAATAATAATTCATAAAACCTTGACCTGTGACACCATGAGGTATAGCAGAAGCATCGATAGCTTGTTGTGTTTGCGTATTAATCGGCATTGCAAGTCTTGGATCAATAGAACTTTGCGATGGAAAAGCCATTTGGTTCGTTACTTCATTGAAACCCTGACGCCCAGATGTAGGATGAAACATTCGAAGTAGCATGGGTGTTTCTGGACGTTGATTAGGCATGTTCGAAAAGTTATTGTGACTATTCATCTTTGACGAAGAAAACGGACACCTATTCTTATGACAAAAATGTGTTCACTGTATGCAAAGCACATATCTATACAGTTAAAAATTATTTTCATGCTTGAATACACATTTAAAAAGGTAAAAAACGGGTGACCCACTGAATATTCGTCATTTACTTGATGACGTATCATCATTCACAATGATTTAAGATTTAGTCAAATAGATAATAGTTTTATAAAATCTGTGAAGATTACAAAATTAAATTTAGTCATTGTCTAGTTCTATCTCAGACGAAATTTCTAAAATCAATGATTTTCTCTTCATGTTTACGTATATTTTTTTCCTAAAATGTTATTGATCACATTCAAACACTTTATTTCTTTTTTTTTTTTTTTTTATGAAAAACCAATTTAATTTTTCATCTAACATTTTGATTGATTTAGCAGGTGTCCGTATTCTGTTGAGAATACTATTCCTTCTCTAATCGATGTATCAATAATTTCACTATAAAAATTAGTTTTTTTTTACTGTTTCGCGAAAGAATAGTATGACAAATATCAAGTATCTATTTTTCAAGTTTTCTGTCATTACTAGAATATTTTATATGCAACATTACAATTATGTCAATCGGCATTCAATTAGTAATAGAAAAGTATACGTAGAAATGCTCCTTCTTTTTTCTCAACTTTTTTCGTCATGATTTCTTAGAAAAATCTATCAATGATCTTCGAAAATTCCATGATGTATGCTTATGTCTATGACTTTTCATCGAAAATTCAAAGACTGTAAATTCATTTCGAAGAAAGTGGTTATCAAGTAGAAACGTAAAATGTTTCGCAATAACATAAAGAACGCAGAACAGAAACGTGGTTTTTTTTTGTTCTCATTTGACCTTGGTTGATGTTCGTATTGATGATGGACTTTGTTTTTTTACACTGTCACATTGGCGTCTTTGTTTTTTTTTTCAATACACAAGGTTTTTTCCGACTCTCTTAAGTGGAAATAAACCAGCTGTGCATAAGTGGATGTCTGACCTGATTTCCATTGTGCTATTGCAAGCAATACCTCATCGAATACGTCTCTTGAGAACATCAGTTGATTTTTCTTTTTTTTTGGCACAAAGCCATATTGCTGTTTTCTTTCCATAACTGTTTTCTAAAGTGAAAATTTAATCAGTATCATGTTTTTTGAGATCATTACTCTCAGTATACGACGTATTTTATCTACATAATGTCTCTATATTACCTTCTAAACCATAATATTTTAAAATTTCTGCATATTTTTAAATATCAATAGTGAATAACATTGGTTTTTAATAATTCAAATCTAAATTTAAAACTACAAGACTCTGAATATTATTATAGTAAACGTTATTTCATTGTAAAAGTTGATTTTAAACAATTACAAAACGTTAATAGAATAATTTCGATAATATTATTTTATTAAATGAATTAATACATTTTAAAGAAGTAAATTTTTGTTTTTCGATAAAATAATCTCTATTGTTATGAAATTTACATCTAGTTCTGCGAATTTCTCCATATGAATCGACATACTATTTAATATATGCGTAATTGCCTCATATGATGAACTGTACTCTTTCATGCTTGTGACTCTTGTCTTTTTTTATATCATCATTTATTCACATTCATCATTTCAATGACGTCTTTCAAAAACTCAACATAGTATTAGTCAAATTGAAGAATATATTTCGTCTGTTTTGTTTCTTACTGTCAATATTTTTTCTTTATCTATAAGTAATATCAAAATAATAGTTAAAATAAGAATTCTTCTTTCTCTTTTCTAAAAGGTTTTTTCCAATGCCATTTTTATTGAAAATCATTTTTTTTTCTTCATTAGTCAAATCTATGACATCATAATTTTATTACAACATTCATTGAAATTCAATCGTTTGAGCATCTTTTTTGTGTATAGAACGAAGAAAAAAGAAGAAAAATATTTTTTTTTCTTTTTCATTGACGTTATACAAAGTCTATATGATTAATACTTTGTATCACTTTCACATTCTATTAAGTCTTGTACAAGGTTTCCTCCTACATTCTTCACTCAGTATTAATTGATAGATCACGAGTAGGAGTGTCTGACTTCATTTCTACTGGTTGTGTTCACAAAATGATTCATCCGACACGTCTTTTGACAACGTCATATGACCATATTTGGCGAATGCCAAGCTGTCATTACACTATTCTCTTTTTTTTCCCCATACATAATTGTGCAAGTACACGTGTGCATCATACTCCTTCGTGTTATTACGTAATCAAATAGTAACAACATCACTGCATAAATAGTCAATGTTTCATTCCTTGCGCTTTCATTTTTACTACATTTACTTTATACACTCTTTATCGTCTACTATTTTACTGTTCATCGTGCAGCAACAACCAATTTTCATTACTCATTTTACTATTAATATGGTTGATAAGGCTTTTGATTTATTCACTCGAACGATTCATAATTCTTATGATATGTCTCATACAAAACTTGTTACTGCTCAACAATTTATGAATAATACATTTTTCGATAAAACTGATATAATTCCACTCATGGCTAAGCCATATGAAGATGTTAATGTTACCAATGGTGGCAATGATGGTTCACAGGTTGTTATTAAACCACCTGATAAACCTAATGGTTGAATATAAATTTATGAATAATACAAAATGTATTTTTTTGGCCTCTCTCAACAAAAACAAAACAACCTTGTTTTTACATGAAGAATACTAACAAAATGTTTTCTTCAAAGAATTAGTATGTATAATATTAGTTTATTAGATTAGTATTTATTTATTTATTGTTTGTTTCTTTTTATTAGTATCTATTTAAAATATATTTATATTGCATAAACTAACAATTTCGTCGTTGTTGTGTTTTTATTTCAAAAGAATCAAATCAACCAACAATTCCATACTATGTATGCGTTATAATCAAGAAAATTTTATTAGAACAAACGTTTGGATTTGTCGTCGACAATTGTTTGTTCTTTATTTATTGTTAAATTAAAAGATCTTTTTTTCTTTTGTTGTATCATCCTGGATGTGTGTATATTAAATAAATAAATAAATAAAGCTGTAAAGCTTGACTAAATAAAAAAAACAAAAAATATTTTTAATCATTAATAAGTTTTTTAAGTTTTGCAATGGAATCATTATCAAGTGAAGGCCATTGAAGAACTTGTAAATCTTCTTTCATATGTTTTTCATCAGTAGTACCAGTTAATGGTGTTAAACCAATATCCATTAAAAATCGAAAGAATACTTGAGCTGGTGTACCATGACGTTCTTGTGCAAGTTGTTGTACAAGTGAATGTCCAAGAATTTGTGGATTAGCTAAAAAAATTCTTATCAATTATATTATAACTATTCTTTTGTTGTTGTTTTTTTTTTCGTACCTGTTAATGTCCAAAAACTTTGATAATAGATATTTTTTTCACGACAAAATCTTCTTATATCATTATCAAAATTTGTCTCAGCATGAAAACGATTTTGTATAACTGAAGGTTTATGTCGAGCATCATCATATAATCTTTTTAAACGATTTAAATCATATAAATTACTAATACCTAATTGTTTAACTTGACCATTATCAACAAATTTTTCAAATTCACGATATACTTCCATTGTTAATTCATGTGATTGTAATGGACTATGAAGTACTAATGAATCAATATAATTTGTATGTAAATTTTTAAGTGATGTTGCAAATGATTGTCGAACTTGTTCAACTAATGGTGAATGAGGATTATATGGTAAAGGTTTTGATTGATCTTGTCCATGAATACTAGTAAATTTTGTTTGAATAAATAAATCTTGTCGAGATATATTATGTTTATTTTCAAGTTCAACAAGAGCTTGACCAACAAGATCTTCACTAAAGAAATAAAATCGGGGTTTGTTTTTTTTTGTCTAATGTGAAAAGATATTAATTATATACCTATAGTGTTTTGGTTGGCATGCTGTATCAATACCACGAAATCCATTTAAAATGGCTTTAATAACAAGTTGTGTTGTTGCTTCTTTTTTCCATGCTGTACCATAGATTAAACGAGGCATTTGAACACCGGCATTTGTTATTACTGCTGTCGCTGACATTATATCGTTTCTAATGACAAGACTTACATCAAATATTACATTCTCATTGGTAAATTGTTAAAAGCTTATTATATTTTGTTTGCTCAAATTTTAAGAGAAAATATAATCTTTTTTTGATTGAAATCTATCGAAAAGAAGATTTTAATTCTTTTAAACATATTCACATTAATTATTAAATATTTTAAATTGAAAATATCTATAATAAATCAACGCCATCTGTGTCGTATGTAAAGAAAGAAAATATCTATTTCAACTTAAAGAATTATAAAATTATGCTTTTGATTTTAATAAAATAATAAAACAATATAAAATTTGACTTCAATTAATAATATTCTTTTTGACTCTTCTACTTTTAATCTTGTCAAGTACAAAATGCTACCATTAAAACACCTCGAATACATTCTTTATCTGATGATTTGATCAGCATATAAGTCCGTTCTCTATCAGTTACACATATTCTTTAAAAAAACCAGATATGTCTTATCTATCTATGAAATAAACATAACAAAAAAAAAAAAAGAAGAAGCCTAGTTTATATCATACCTAACGAAAAGATGCATAGAATATACATTTACTCAACTCATCGATCATTGTCCACTCGTATTCTCTACATCTTCATCAATATTTCTTATCAGTTCTTGTTCTTCTTTGTTCATTTATTCTATAGTTATCGTTCAGAGAATAAAATATACATAGACAGACCTCAATCTAAGACAAACAGTCAAATCCTATTTAAATTCATACATCTGCAAACATATATTTCAAAAAACAAAACAAAAAAGATACCAACAATCAACAATAGATCATATAATGAAAAAGATATATAAGGTAAGATTTCGAAGAAAACTTTTTATTTTTTACCAATCGTTTTTTTGTGATTGACTATATCTTACTAAAAATCACCATCATATATCATCATCCAAAGATAAAGATAAGCCTTTTCAAACAAATTAGATCCATATTTCTTTTATCCATTCAATCAACTAGAATCAAAAATACTCTTGACCTTCTCTCTATATTCTTATTTTTTTGTTGTTATCCTATCTAATGTTTTATCTTTATATTGATATTATCTCACTACTTTATTTTTTTTCAAATTGCTCTTTAATGACTATTCTCTTCTTTTCGAAGTTAAAACAAAATAAAAAAAAAATCTTCTACCCCAGGAGTTCTTTTCAGTATCAATCTATTCAATTGTTTAAATACTATTCAAGAGATCAGAACATATAAAACAATGAGAAGAAGTGGCTATTAGTCTAATATATTTTGTTTTTTTGTAACCGTAATATTTATCTATGTAAAACAGCATGTTATATGTTAGCTCGAATGTCACATATTGACCGTAAAACACAGTCGGTGGTGATGATGATATTGTTATTTTTAGGTGAAATATACGCATATATAATAAATGTTTTTCTGGTTACGGTTTAATTTGGTGTCATCTTTCCTGTGAAAACGAAAAACTAAAAAACAAAAAAAACAAAAAAAAAAGATTTCGAAAATGAATATCAAGATTAATTATTTAGCACTTGATCGTTGATTTCAATCACCACAGGATTCTGATTGATGAATGTCGGCATTTTCCTATGTTCATTTATCAATGATTTGATCAGAAATATTTTAAAATTTACAATGGTGTGCTAAAACAAAAAAAGAATATAATTTTATTCTTTTATCTTGAAAAAAAAATTTTTGTTTTTTTTTTTATTTTCAAAACTAAAATTCTATTCAATTGAGTAAAATTATGATCTACACATTGAATTTTTTTTTATTAATTATTTGTGAGATCATATTTTTATTCTATTGTTGAATTATTGTTCGAAACCAATTGTCGAACTACATTAATTGGTTTAATACATATATATTCATAACAATCATTGATAAGTGTGATTTGATTACAACGAAATTTTCGCATTTGATTTCTATTGGCTTATTTCTTTAGTCATAACCCAATAGAAAAAATAAAAAAAAAAAGAAGATGAGAGAGAGAGATAGTGAAATGGCATCATTTATTAACAGTCATCGTCAAATAAGTAATCTCATTCATTCATAAGTGAACATTCAAATTTCAAAGTAGTCAAACAACAAGGAAACGAATTCATTTTAATCGAAAAATGTCATCATCATCAGGAAGTCCGAATATTAGTTCGGTAAGTTAAATATAAATAAGAAGTTTATTTGAATTTATTAATCATGAAAAACAAAAAAACAAAAAAATGATTTTATTTTAGAATATTATCTTATCAAGTATAGTTACATCAGCATTAGGTCAATTAAATTGGGCTGAATTAGAACAAAAACAAACAAAACCTATTAAACCTATTCATGTTAAACGACCTATGAATGCATTTATGGTTTGGGCACAAGCTGCTAGAAAAAATTTAGCTGAAAATTTATCTGTTGTTAATAATGCACAATTAAGTAAAAAATTAGGACAATTATGGAAGTAAGAGTTTGAAATTAATAAATTTTTGTTTTGTTTTTTTTGTTTTCATTTAATCTAGATCATTACCACAAGAAAAACGTCAACCATTTATTGAAGAAGCTGAACGTATTCGTGAACAACATAAACGTGATTATCCTGAATATCGTTATCAACCAAAACGTAAAATTAAAAGTAAGATAAAATAATAATAATAATAATAGTAATAAATTTAAATTTGAAATTTTAGATTCTCGTTATCATCCATATTCAACACCAAATACAAGTAAATCATCTTCATCACCATCATCTTCATCAGTTAATGATATAAGTGTACAAAGTGATCATCATCCACCAATGACTTCATCACCATGTTCATCATCTATTGATGAATCAACAACAAATATATCATTTCAATCTCAACAAATTTATTCAACAAAATATAATCACAATAATAATAATAATAATAATAATGATGATGGTGATGATGATGATGATGAAAATGGTTGTAATTCAAAAGAAAATTTTCCTCCATTATCATTTTATTCTGAACAAATATCAACAAATATTGAAGATGATAATGAATATAATACAATAACAAATGGAATTTATCCAAGTACAACAATGCAACCAAATGAACCTTTTTCTTATTCAAGTAACTTTTGGTTTTAGAAATCCAAACAAAAAAAAAAAAAAAAAGAAAGTTTTCATAATATTGTTTCTTTAATTTAGATATGTACAATTCATATTATCAACCATTTCCTCATCAGGCAATTACTGATTATGATAATAATTCTCGTTATAATACAAATTATGGTTTCATTTCATATGATTCATCCTATATGACATATCCTTCAACTTCATTTGTTTCACAACCAACTACTAATTTCAATTATTATCCATCTACTCAATGACTTTTGTTAAAAGATTCTGTATTTGTTCTTTTTTTTTTTATAAATCTATTATATAAACTAAAAAAACAAAAAAAACCAATTTCAAAAATCTTGATGTTTTTCTGCAAGTCCAACATTAATATTTTCTTGTGGAGTTTCTTCAGGTTTTTTTGATAATTCAGGATGAGGTTTATCTGATGCTAATTGACCTGCAGCAATAAATTGTTGAGCAAGTTCAAGTTGAAATTTATCATTAAGTTTTGAACGAAGTGGATTAAGAATATCAGATTCTTCTTCATTTAAATGATGTACTAGAAATAAAAAGAGAATATATATAACAAAAAAAAAAAAAATCTTTTTCTTGTTTCATACCTAATCTATCAACTGCTTTACATATTTGTTTCCATTCCATTGGTGATTGTTCAACTAATTTTTTTAATTCAGTTTCAAGTTCACGATGTTCTTTTATACCATGTTTAATTATATGATGTCCATCTTTTTTTCCATCATCTAAATAACTTTCTATTTTAGGATAAAATGCAATTTCTTCTTTATGTCCATGTAATGCTATATATGCAATCCATTGACGAATACGTGTATCAAGTTTAGTTAGATCTTTGACTGATTTAAAATATTCATATTCATCACGCATATATTTATGTTCCGATAAAATTAAATCAATAATACCAACGGATTGAGATGAACTAGAAGTCATTATTGGTCTATGAATAGTTAAAATAGAAGTAAGAATGAGACGTCGAAAAAGAAACATTATATTATATAAAATAATAATCTATAAATTATACTCGACGACCTCTACGATAAAAACTGACTCATCGTGTGTGTTTTTACTGGTTGAATTACGTAGAATTTTTAATAGAAAACTAGTGATATCTGTCGAAGTTTGAAGATGTCTTCTCTGTCGACTTTAGTTCGTATTCCTCTATCAGACGTTTCACCATATGATATTAATCCTTTGATTGCGGTTTTTTTTAAATTAAAATTTCTTTTTTTGTGCTATATTTTTGATCGTCAATTAATCTATAGTTCTAGTTTATTAAAAATTTATAAAGACGGATGTTTAGAACTTTTTCAAAGTATGATAAGCAACATATAAACTAACATTACGCTGAGCACACTCATATCTTGTATCAGTTCTTTTTTTTGAACCTTTTGTTGTATTACTGCAGACATGATACTTTCGTCTCTTTGTTTCTGCAGATGTACCTTCAGCTGAATAAACTTGAATAGGCGAAGTGATGTGTCGAGCAGTGAGCATCAATGGATTATCTAAAGATGGTCTTCCTTCTTTTTTTTTTTTTTATTCTTTTGACTTCCAATAGATTCGATGACGGACAGAATCACTTCTAGTCGAAAGTCTGATAGATGCATTGTTTTTTCAGTCTTAAACTTGTAGAAAATGAAGGCATTGAGTAAAGTAATATCAAGCAGATAGAAAATTTTTTTTATAATTATAACATCATCTAGTATATTCTTTTAGACAAAAACGTTTCTTATGAAGATCTTAGCTTTTAGCAAATTTTCACGTAAGAGAGTCGGTTTGTGTTATATTTATTAGACATTATTGATTGTCACAATAAAAGAATTTATAACTCATATTACACTAAAAAAGTGTCTGAAAAATGCTTTCATGAAAATTGATATCACTATGATGTCAATATAACCACGAAATTACTACGATACGTATTTGTGTCACCCGCAGTCAAAGGATTATAATAAGACATAATGGAACACTTTTCATGAAGAGAGAGAGAAAGAGCACGAACTATCAAGTCACTGACGGAATACCTGCTATAGGAGTACCTTTTAATTTATAATCAAAGTGGCAAATATATATATTTAAATATGATTATAAATTTTGTTCGAATTTCTTCTATGTGAAAGATAATATTTTAATATTACAAAAAAAAAGTCTGCTTTTTTTTCGCACAGGATCATCTGTATCTTTATTAATAAAAAAAAAAATTTATAAGAGCACGTGCAAGTGTTTTCCATTGTCATTCGTTCAAATCTTTTGTTATACACCATGCACGCATATACATGAACCAAAACACAGTAAGAAAATAAGACAAAAAAAAAATGAATAAGAACACAAGACAGAGAAAAAAAAAGAAGTTAAATGGCACGTGCATAGGCTCACTTTCGTATTAATACAAGAATAAGACAAGATACCACAAAAAAAAAATAGAAGTCAAGAAAAATACTTTACTAGGTATATCTAATATCTTTATGTAGAATTAAGCAAAAAAATAAATCTTATAAGTATTAAAGGCTTAAAAAACCATACGATAAATATGGTGATGTTGTGTTTATATCTATAGAATTGGTACCAAAATTTGATAAAGGTGTATCAATCCAACCACTATTATTATAAGGTTGATCGAGATCCATTAAATGATTATTAGCTAAATCTTGTAATGTTTCATATACTATAAAATCACAAATATTAGTTCAATCTGAATTTAATTACAAAAAAACAAAATTACATACCAATTTTTTCATCTAAAATTGGTGCTAATTCTGATTGATTGTTAGGTATATTGAATATATTAGAAGTATTACTAAGATAATCGATTAATGTTGATGTTGAATCATCCAAAACAATTGAAGATGATGATAATGGTGAAGGTATCATTGGTAATAATGCTGGTGGAGGTACAGGAATCTCATCATGTTTATTTATTATTTGTATACGTACAGCACGACGTGATAAAATTGGAGATGTTTGTATTCGAGGAGAAGGTACAGAAATAACAATTTGAGGTTGATCAATAAGTTTTACAAGCCAGTTATTATTATTATTATTATTATCAGATGATAACGATGGTGGTGAAGCAACAGCTTGACACATGGCTAGAACTGTTGGTTGTACATGATGAGGAGTAGCATCAGAAATCGATGATGATGATGATGATGATGATGATGATGATGATGATGATGATGATGATGATGATGATGATGATGCTGATGATGATGATGGTTGTTGTTGTTGTTGTTGTTGTTGTTCTTGAAAAAAAAGAAAAGATGAAGTGTCCATCGTTGACAATTGTCGTTGAGCTAAATATAATGATAATGAAAAGAAATGCTAATCGATATACATATATATACATATATAGGATTCAGACTAATTGGTACGTACGGTCAGGTAGATAATGCTTTTTTGCTATTGTTCTATTAGCGGTCGACGAGCGTTGTTTTGGTTTAAATCGATAGCCGGGATGATCAATTGTATGTTGCTTTTTCAATGTTTCAGCCATATCTAAAAATGGCTGTTTCTCTTCGACGGACATATGCCTAAAAGAGTTAATTGTCTCTCTCTCTCTCTCTCTCTCTCTTCCTCTATGCGGCAATATATTTTATATTTCCTTTTTCTTACCGCCATGTTTCACCTAAAAGTTTACTCAATGATGTTTGACTAACACCATAACCATCACTTGATACTCGTTTTCGTTCACCTCGAGCCCATAATAAAAATGCATTCATTGGTCGTTTCACAGTTGAATTTTTTTTATTATTCTTATTAATATTATTATCATATGATTCATTAAAATAATCTTCATTTGTTTGTATTGGTGATAATGATTCTATTTTGGTCAAGGAATTGTCTATTGCTAAATACTAAAATGAATAGAAATAAAAAAAGAAACTATATAAATAGAAATATTCAAATAATAAATCATTTACATCATGAAATGACGAAGATGGAGTTGATATCATCATCATCGTTACTGAATATCTATTGTTTTGGATTATAAAATAGTGAATGGTTATGTGTAATCCAACCTCGACTTGTACATTCGAATAAGAGTGGAAAAGAAAGAAAAACATACATGTGTTTCGATGTATGTCCAGTAGAAAATGAATCATATTTAAGCATGTGCCGATAAAAGAATAGAATGCGTATTATTACTAGAGTTGGAAGTTTCTTAGTTTTTTGACGAACAAATTTTCAATAGATGTTCTCATAACAATGACAAAAGAATGTTTTACTTTCTTTTCAATTATACAAAATATTTATTCATTTGAATGCA